GGACTTCAGTTTTGAAATTCTACATTTTATTAGTCTGTTACTTTGCACTACTTAGCTGATATCCATGTCTGCGGATTTCAAAAGTACTGTTTATTGTGGCAGCTTGCCAACCAAGCTTACTAGTGTTTGCTGGTAACTTAGCACTCAACCCTCTTGTCCATATGTGGTGAACAACACGTACATCATAGCGGCTACATCTTTTCTAGACAATCTATGCTCCTACGTTAAGTCAATTCAAGTTCAATGTATTTTTATAGCACATTTTAAGCAACCTCATTTGACCAAAGGTCTGTACAAGTTATGCAAAATATACCCTATATATAACAGTCACAAAATTAACAATTATATATATACACACCACAAATCAAATAAAACAAAGAAATTAAGTATTTTGCATAATAAAAGCCAGAGTACTTTTGGCTCCTCAACTAGACCCAAAGCTAGAAAAAGTAGGTTTTTCACAGTGTTTTTAAATGATTAAGAGACTTGGCAGCTCTTATGTGAAAAGGTTTGTTGTTGCAAAGATTAGAAGCCACCATTGAAAAGGCTATATCGCCTCTGATTTTAAGTCTGGATCTATGATATCAAAGACCTCAGTGCTCAGCTAGGATTTTGCTGTCTCAAAAGTTCTGTTAGGTAAGGGGGCACCAAACCACTGACACTCTTAAAAAGAACCAATCAAATTTTAAACTGGATTCTGAAATGGACTGCAAGTCAGTGTAAAGAGGTCAGTATAGGTGTAATGTGTACACCTATCTGTAGGTCCTCTAAAAAGCAATGAAAGGAGATGTTGTTTTTTTTAAAAAAAAAAATAGACCCCAAGAGAAGCATATATTAAAAAAAAATGGATCCCAATAGAGAACCCTTAGGTATTCCTCAACCAAGTGGGGACACACATAATGAATACTGTCCTAAATGCACAGGGGAACTCCTATCTGACAAATATGACTGGAAATATTTAAAGGCTGTACTCTTAATACCCAGACATTGGACAAAGATTACTCTTAAACCAGCTGCAACTGCACTAAAAGCTTTAAAACTCAAATTCAGTACATCACTGATGACATGTTGACAGGGCTAAAGGTTTAGAATTACAGTACTATAAGTAATCCTGCTATTTTGCTTTATCTTTACCAGCACTTTCATACTTACTGGCAGTACAGATGCCATGGGGTTGGCAAGCTAATGGCTGACACACCAAAGAGTCACAAGCAGCACCCTGCCAACCATCATGACACAGACAGTGTCCGTCCACACAGTCACCGTGCTCGCTGCAGTTTGCTGGCTGGCATAGTCTTTTATGGATACACAAGATGGTGGAGACCTTTCGCTCACAGCGCCACATGTTATCTGGAATACTGGAAGGGAAGGAGATGTGTTGACAGCATGGAAGGACAGAAAAAAGTCTATTAAAAAAAATCAACCATTTATTATTTATCTTCTACACCTATATCCACACTTTAACATTAAATGTTGGAGAATAAAAAAGTAAGTGTAAAGTTTCACAAGTGTGAAGGGACAACTCACTCACCAATGATCAGATGGATAGCTGGCCAAAACGCCATTTTTAACATAGGTGGCAGATCCGCCCCCATCCAGATTAATGGCATTGATCACTCCATGCTCCTTCAGGAAATCAGCCATCTCCCAAAGACTCAAACTGTGTTAAAAAAAAAAAGCAGCACTGAAAAAACTGAAGACAAACATTGTGTTCATAGACATGTTGAGGACTTTAGTCATACTGGCAGCGTGTCAGAATCAGTGACTGCCAAACAGCCTGGTGCATCTGTTACTGTTCTGTCTGTCTACATTTTTTTGGTTCTGTGTTTGTAATTATGTAACTACCATGTTTCTCTCACAAAATCTTGTGCATGAGTGATTCAGCTTTGTGTATTGTATGGAAACAAACATGCATGGGTGTTGCATTAGCTTGGGCTACAAATTCCTTGGTATATGCTGCTGTACATTGCATACTCATCCCCACATACAAAAACAATAAAACAAAACAGATATCCATTTACAAGAATATCTCAAATAACTGTATACAAACATTAAAACATCTTTGGTCAAAGATTATATATTTCAGACAGTAGAAATTACTTCTAAAAGCTATCTAAAAGCTTAGTCTCCAATTTGTCTTTTGCAAACAGTGTTTTTGATCTTGATTCTGTATGATGTCAACAAGGGGAGGGGGATATACTTAATATGGTCACCTCGGGTACACGGTAGCTCTGGGTGTGTGTGTCCACAGAAGCCCCCCTCTGTCATTTAAATCTTTTTTGAGAGGCAGTCATGCAGAAGACAGCTGGCCTAAATACACAGTGTCCTTTAAAGGAGAGGAGCTATCATGGTTTGCTACAGACAGAAGATGACCTGGGGGCCTGCACCAAAGTCCATTATTTTCCACTGTGAATGATGCAAGCAACTCTAGTGGAGTCACAGTTTGCCACAGGTTTTCATGTGTCACCTGCCTGCCAAACTTAAAAAGAGTGAGTCTTTTCAAGGATTCAAGGCTAGAGAAGAAAAGAAAGGTGTGGGATGCTGTAGATGACGTAACTTTAAAATTGAAACTGTGACAATAGATGACAAAACCTCATCTCAGTAGTCTGGCTTAACTTTTGTTTTGTTAATCTAAATGGAATGAAACAACCATTAAACTCTGCAAATAATTAAGATTATGCAGATTAAGATAAAAATGATAAATGATAACTAAAGATAATCTCTTTAGTCCCTGAAGAGAAATATGTTCTTGATCATGAGAGCATGCAGACCTGCTTGTGTCAGAATTAATACAAGAAGAACAAATACCAAAATATATTGTTTTTCATTTACTCAGTATGATTTACCATCATCGTGGTGACAATGGCACTATAATATGAGAAATAAAGTATATACAAAACACAAAATCTTCAAAAGGCAATGAGTCAAAAACACTGCAGTCAAATATTTTCATGTTGTTGGCATTTAAGGACTTTACTTTATGTTTAGGTTTGTCTGGCCAAATTTCTAAAACAGACGCCTGATTATTTCACTAATCGCGTGTGGAGATTAGGCTGAAAAGTCCAAAAATGGCCACTGAACTGTGGATAAGTGGTTCTTCACAGTTAAGATGTCTCGCAATTCAATGCTAATCAATGCATCACATAATGAACTCAGAATGATTAATTAATTGTGAAAATAATCATAGATTAAGTGTCTGACTGGCTGATCATCTATGGCAACCTCCACTAGAACTAGTTAAGAATTTCAAAGAACTAGCATGTCGTTCATGGAAACTAGAGGTCAGTTTCTGAGGTCACAGCTTCCTTCAACCTGACTTTTTCATGTTTTATTGAGTGGGAGGTGGCCCTATATTGAGCAGAGATATACAGAGGGCAGCAGACACGTTCAGACATGTCCGATTGTTGTGCTTTTGAAACCCCGATCATAAACACAACAATAGAATATCTGAAGTCAGTGCAGGTCTGTGGGGTCACAGCACTAAAGGTGGAGGGAAAATTAGATCAATGCAATTGACTGGTGGAGTATCTAAGAGGGTTGAGCTAATATAAGCCTGATAGTGTTATCGGATCTCTGTTTACCAGAACCCCTGTTTACTACATTCACTGTCAGCTTGTTTTTATTTTTCAGCCTCCAAATGACCTCGACCTGCATTAGTCCATCATCTTGTTGTTCAATGCTGTCCTGAGATGTTGTTATTGATTA